TGTGGGCCCGCCATCCATCCGGCCTCACATGTCAGTCACACAGCTGGCGTAGTCTTCACTGCAGACAAAACTGCTCACCGTTAGCCACACTGCAGAGATCTTACTGTGGTCGAGTTGCCAATTTTACTGCACACGTCGACGTGGGCTCGATGTGTCCTCCGGGACCACCATGTCAGAGACACAGCTACCGAGGAGTGAAAAAAAATTAATAAAAATCTCTACGTACAGTACATCGCTGCCAAAACTCTGCATGCATGTATGCATGCTCGCGTGTTTCCTCCTCTCCACACTCTCGCTGCTGAAATGCAGGCAAAAGGGATGCTTACATAATGCATATATATGTGCAATTTATGCATGGGAGCATCATGGCCGGCTATGAACAGTTGTCCCCCCCTTTCAAAGGTCTAGACATAAGTGGGTAGATACCTTCATCTGTCTATGTACCCACCATTGGCTTATTCTCTCATTACTGGTCTAGGTAGGAAGGAGGTGAAGGAGGTGTGGGGTTGCAGCAAGTGGGGGTACCGAGTACTGTTCCGCGATCAATACCGGTCGACTACTTTCGTGCTCTATTTGTTCGTCCGTCGGTGCCCTGTGCGTGCGCGGTTTGCATTGGGTGTGTGGGTTGTACTGGTCCGGGGCGTATCCCGCGTGAGCCGACTGAATTAAAGCGGGTCACGAGTCGTCTGTCTTGGCGTGACCGAGAGAGACAGGTGATAGCTATTTTTGCGTGGAGGGCAGGGTATGTAGCGCCCCCTCTATTGGTTGGGAGCATCTTGAATCGGATGATAGGATGGTCCAATTTGTAGGCGTTGTAGGTTTGAATTTTGAATTAGGCTACTACTTGGAGTTTTCATGACTAAAAACACAATTTCAAGGTTTACTTCCCATCCATGAACTTCAAGAAATAATTACCTCAAATGCGTGATATATGGTTCATGAAAATTTAGGTGGTACCATGTTACTTCAGAAAACCCTTTTAAGGAAACAACCTTTTGGCATCCATCATGCACTTGGTCTGCTCAATGTATACCTCGAGGAAGTTAACTAAACTGCAAAGTAAAGTGGTTGTTAATCTAACTAAAATTTTTTATTTAAATTATATAGATCATTCGAGTTTGTAAAAACATGCCCAAACTAAAAATCAGCTAATAAAAAGCTCAAACTTATGACCAATTAATGGTAATATATCAGCATGTGCCAATTGAATGTTATTTCGAAAACCTATACTTATTGATCCACACCAATTTAGATATAGATCACACAGCAAAGCATACATACAAACTAACCGCAAGAAAAAAATATCTCTCTTTCTATCTAGCTTATGTCGATCAAATGTGCTATGTGTTCTGACAAAAGGGAGGCCACTGGACCACGGATAATTGAATATTCTCATCATGACTTCCCCACACAAGACATTACCAGGACAAGTGATTGCACTATTAAAGAGAGTCATATGAATCTTTTGTCACAATTAAGATGAAAGAAATGATGTCAAGTACTCCCTCCGTCCAGCATTTATAGGATTCAAATTTTGTATTACAGTATACTATGTATTTCTAAGGCACGTGACAGCTCGTTTCAAGTCTGGTGGCCGTCTTCTAGGACCTGCTTACCTGAGCATCTCGCGCCGGCTTCAACTCCCTGGTCCTCCTGGTCTCTTGGCAGCTGTGGAAGGACCGGTACTCTAGGGTATTCGACTCGGCGCTCTCCTTAGTCTCCGTGGTTTTAGAGTTCATTCACTCGGAAGGTTGTCTGTGGTCTTCCGCGGGCATCGCCGCTTTTTTTTTGTGTGGGAGGGGGGGTTGGGAATGTAGTGTGGCTCTACTACCACCCTCTCGTTATTTGGAGTAGCTTTTTCCCGCAGTAATTTCCCCTTCTTTTACCTAGTTACAACTGATTGTGTTACGTAACAAAAATTATTTTTCTTTTAATATATTGACATGCAATCGATTTGTGCGTTCGCGAAAAAAAGATTCTAATGTACAGAAATCTATACACATTTTCATCGGTGCTTGGGAGGGTAATCCAAACAATTTAATACTCAAATTTATCCATTCGATAATGGAAAGGAAATATTTTCCCCTTAACCTTCGTATTTTCTAAACAACTTAGAAATTAATACTTATATTTTCAAACGGAAGGAATACTTATTTAACTAAAATCCATGAAAGAAACAATTAACTTGCAACTCTATATATGTGTGTCTCTTGTTCTAGCTAGCTATATGATTTTCTGGGATTCATGCCATCAAACTTAACTCTCTAGACTTGTATTTTTCCTTCATATAATAGTTAATATGTTACGAATTTACCATTTTCTTCTTGATACTTAGTACTGCAGTTTTCCTACAATTACAAGATATTTACAATTACAAGAATGGAAAAAATCACATGAGAAGTAAAAAGGGTGTAAATAACTAATGAAGCGGATTCAAATCCTGATAGGCATGCACAATCACGCTTATATGAGTGCACTTTTACTTTTAATTTTGTGTAGAATGAGAAGTCGAAGAGTGCTATACTTTAGTACATGTATCTTGGTGTGGAGCACTCATCGATGGAGCAATCATCTCTGCAACCATATAACCTAGAAATTTTCAAAACGTACAGTGCCGTCCTTGTATCTTCCATTATTTTACTTATCCCCAGACCCTAGTTTTAAAGCTTTTTTCTAAACTTCGGACTTTCCATCATATCAAACCTTTCATACACACGCAACTTTTCTATCACATCGTACTAATTTCAACCAAACTTTTAAACTTTAGTGTGAGCTAAACACAGCCTGAGTGGCCTTATTTTGCCTAAGCACATGGTACGTATATAGGTTAGTTATGGGTAGCTACAAGTACGTACTCACTGTTGTCTACAGTATACATGTACGTACTACAGTATACAAGTACCTTTAGCAGGCAGCTTCCAGCCTTCCAGGCCATCAGCCATGTCCTCTACTCCTCTCTCTGTCACGGAATAACATCACCCAATTGTAAAATACTATCGTACGTGAGAATGATGTTAATGAAACATATGGTGATATTTTTTAACTCTATAACTCTTTTTTGATGGTACTAGTTAAATAAGTCTATCAACTTCTATATATGAATTAGGATATGACATTTATTCGTATATACAAATTGATTTATTTAAGAATGAAGGAAATTCAAGAAATATATATTGGCCACATGCAGAAATAGAGGGTACATACATATATATATATAGAGAGAGACACACACACACGCGCGATGTATCGGATATATATTATATGTTCTGCATGCGCAATGCGTCACCTGGACCATGGTACACGTTCCCATCAGATCAATACTACTGTATATGCATCTGTACACCCCTTCTCCTTATGTGTGGTACACTAACTGGTACTAAGTACATGACAACTACAAAAGAACAAAAACAAGGTCCATCCATCCATGGCATGCTCTACAATGCTAGAAATGTAGTCGAATTTTGCAGATAACTAAATAAGCATAAAATATTTCGGTCACTGTTCGGCAAGTTAATCATGGAGCTTCCCAGTGAAAGATCGAGTTATGCAATGGTGCACTTGTAGTGTCTAGTAATCTATATATCCAAAACAAAGAACCATTCAAAATGAGAAGTGGGCCAATTAAAGCAGTGGGCAAAGTCAAGTATGGCCCAGTATGAATCTTAACCGATTAAGCTTCGTGATGGGCCGCTCGTACACTTGGATGGGCCGTTGTTGAGGCCGAATCAAATTAACAAGGCCCAAAGATTTATATCTGTGTATTAGGCCCAACGAATTAGGCCTTGAGGAATTGAGGTTTCTACTTAAGGCCATTGGACCATTATCCTCCAACTTGCCTAACCTGGAAGTCGAGTAGCAGCCATGTCAAGGTTGATTATTATTTTTTTCTCGAATGCGCAAAAGAATTGCATGTTAATATATTAGAAGAAAAAAATATTTGTTACACAACGCATTAAGCTAGACCGACTTATACCAAGAGAGGAGGGAAACAAAAGACCAAGGGAAAAAAAACTCGATACTACGACTCCAAACAGTGTGAAGGGGACATAGTCCACTACTCTCCGAAAACCCCAAAATTAGCAATGCCAACTAACGACCAAAGATGGCCCTCTGAAAGGATGGACTGTAGGACCTCTGAGACCAAAGATAACACAGAGTCAAAAACCCTGGAGTTCCGTTCCTTCCACAGTTGCCAGGAGACCAGGAGGATTAGAGAATCGAAGCTAGGACGGAGATGCTCAGGCAAGCATGCCCTAGACGAATGCCATCAATCCTAGAGGCAGCTACCAAGGGAGGGAGAGAGGGCAACCCAACCAAGAGACAACAACACACGGAGCCAGACCTACCAAGCGAACACGCAATCGAAGAGGATGTGGTTCGCCCCGTCTCAAGCTCTTGAGTGCAAAAGGGGCAGACCAAGTGACTATCAATGCCGCGCTTCTAGAGGAGATTGGCCATCCAGCAGCGTCGTTGAAATGCAAACCAGAGGAAGAACTTGCATTTAGCAGGACTCTTCACATGCCAGAAAAGATCAGCACAAGCAAAGAAGTGCTGGCCATAAAAGCACATCTGGTACGCCGAACGCGCTGAGTAGCGCTGGTCATCTTCCAACGCCAAACAAGACGATCCTCGACACCCGGCGAGAGCTGGACGTGAAACACTGCGTCCCAAATAAGAAGAAACTGGGAGATGGCCGAAACAGTTAGTGCGTCGCGGATGTTGGAAACCTAGGAATTGTTCGCCAGGCCAGAAGCGACCGTGCGTGAACCTCGGAGGCGCTGGGGCATGGCGAAGAGGAGATCAGGAGCCAAGGAAGCCACTGAGCGGCCATCAATCCATTGGTCAGTCCAGAAGAGCATTGACTCTCAGTCCCCTGGCACGAAGAAGGTGGATGCCTCGAACATGTTAGAAACGGTCTGCTTGACTGGGGCTTTTCAAGCCATCTCAATAAGGATGCCCAAAGCGCTGCAGCCACATCCAACCTTAATTTTATTGCAGAATCAACAATTAATTAGCTTCTCTTTTTTTTAATTATTAAGCACCATTTGGCACACATGGCTAGTTACAACTTACAGTTCTCTCAAAAGACACACACAGTCACAAAGAATTAATACAGATCATCAGCCAAAGAATAGAGAGCTCTAGCTCTTGATGCACAACCAACCAACCATACACACACACGCACACACAAAATGCACGTTACATACATGATACGTCACGTTGTCACGGCGAGCTAAGCTATGGCTTACCGATTTGCATCAGGCGACCCTGCAGTTTGCCCTGACCTTGCCGCTGCTGCCGGTGAGCACGCCGACGGCGCCCATCTTGACCATGGCGGCGGCGAAGTCGCTCTGGAAGGTGGAGGCGTCGTTGGCGTAGGCGACCACCTGGACGGCGGTGTTCTTGTCGCCGAGCAGCGCCTGGTCGGAGGAGAGCAGGCCGCGGTTGTTCATGACGCCCTTGAAGAAGCCCTCGTCGAAGGCGTTGGGGGTGACGGCGTCCATGGGCACGAGCGCGCCGCCGCCGGCGGCGCCGCCGCTCTGCGGGCACTGCTGTGCCAGCTGCGCCACGTACGCCGGGTCCATGGTCGGGTCCTGCCCGCCGCCGGCGCCGCCGGCCGTCGTGCCCGCCCGGTACAGGCGGCTGCTGAACGAGCTGCAGTGCGACGCGCCGATGGTGTGCGCCCCGGACAGCGCCACCATCTCCCGCTGGCTCAGCCCCTTCGCCGCGAACATCTGCGTCAGCTGGCTCACGCTCGCCGTCGGCGGCGGCAGGTTGCCGCCGGTGTCCGACGACCGCGACACGCTCCCGTCCCGCCGCCCCGCCGGCACCTGGTACGCGTTCCCGCCGGTCTGCGCGCCACACAAACAAACTTCAGCATCAATCTCCCTTTTTTTCTGTAATAATGCAGGTGCAGCTAGAACAAAATGAGGGGGTTCCACTCGCTTGCTTTACTCTGGTTTGAATCAAATTTAGCTTAATACTGATACCTAAGTTTAAACTGACGGGGTATATATATGGTGAAAATAGATAAACTATAAGTAAAAAAAATTTTAAACCGAGTTCCTGGGCACCCCCTAGCTATACTAGCTCCGCCCCGTGCAGCATGCCAGCATCATGTGGTGAAGGCAACGTGCCAACGTGTGCAGAAAAGTTGGGGACATGACATGCATATATAGATCAGAATCACTCAAGATTAGCTTTTTTTTTCCCTCCCAAATCGTACGTGCGCTATATCTAGATTAAGCTTTACGTTGCAAAACCCATATGAATATATGATCATGTCTAGTTGCAAAAGCTGGCAGATGTAAGACTGAAGCAACGGCAATGGGTACGAGTAATTGACAAGTGCGATAGTGTGTGAGAGTGTGTAGTTACATCTAAGAGATTTTATAGTGCTTGAGAAAATACCAATAGATATCGTATTTTCTATTAAAAAAATTGATACCTTCGGTACTAAGAGTTAAGAGAATTTGCATTAAAAATTTAAATATCTCTTATGTACTGTAAAATTTCTCTAATTACGTACCAGGGCGACGCTGTCGCGGGCGGCGAAGGCGAGGATGTCGGCACAGGAGACGACGCCGAAGCAAGCCTGCTCGACGCGGGCCTTGATGCGGTCGACCACCTCGAACCCACGCAGGCTGGTGTTCGGCCCGGCGTCCTTCTCCGCCTGGTTCCCCTTCGTCGAGTCGATCAGCACCGACGCATCGCACCCCTGCACATCCAAAAATCATCCACAACCACATCACATCCAGCCACTCTCGCATGCAGCTGATCGATATATCGAGCAAGAATGGTGGATTGGCACTACTGACCCTGACGAAGCAGTCGTGGAAGTGGAGGCGGACGAGGCCGGCGGCGAGGCCCGGGTTGGCCGACACCGCCTTGCTCACCTCCTGCTGCACGATGATCTCCGCCGCCGGGCACGAGTTGTCGTAGAACCCCACCCGCAGCTGCGCCTCCAGCCCCGTCGCCATCGCCAGCAAGCTCACCGCCGCCACCTGCAAGTACCACGACAGCATCGTCGCACCACCGCCTCTCATCGCCATTGCCACTAAGCTCACACTAGCACACTCACTTTAGTACTAAACTGCTCTCTTTATATACGGCTTAGTGATAGTGCTCGCTACAACGCCTATCTTTTTTATACAGGAATGGACGGACACATCGATCACTAGCTATGGCTATGCTTCTTGGTTAAGTAAGGCGACAATGGAAGAGTGGCCGCGAGTGAGTTATATAGAAAATCATCAATGGAGGGTTTAATTAGTGGAATATTGATTGAGCTGGGGGGAGAGAGTGATGATGATCAGTGTGTGACAGATGCCGTCCATGTGCAGAGGGGATAGGTTGGTAGTGAAAAGTTGTGGTTCTGCTGCCAATTGGGGGCCTTTCTTTTTGTAACATGATTGGGGGCCATGGAAAGCGAGCGAGATCGATTCATCGATCGATCTGTGTAGGTAGAAGGAGTACTCCCCTGTTTTTATCCGCAGCATGCAGTAGTACATCTTGAGCACACAACGACGGATCGAAGCTGCCATTTGTGGTGTTCCGGTGACACTCTATGTCACATGACCAAAAAAAAAAACAGAGAGAGAGGGGGCAAGCACTCCGACTTAATATGTAATATATCATTCCACAAACATACAAGTTCAAATTCAACTTCTATAAATTATAACAAAAATAATAAATTTGACTAATAATTGCATATATTAGATAGAGTTTAATTTGTTATTTTTATTACAACTTGTAGAAGTAGAATTTAAAATTACATATGTGTAGAGTGATATATTATATATTAATCTATCTTGCCATTTTTTTTGAATTTTTTTATAACCATTTAGTTTACATGCAAGAAATGGGTGGACGTCCATCCTGGAGATTAATTAGAATCATCTCGCACGTCCCCTCAAAGGAACAAATAGACTTTCCCCTTGTTCATGTGAGGAATATTGTGTTTCCTGTGTTGCTACATTGACAGCATTGGATGTTGGCTATGACATCGTGTAGTTACAGCTGAAGCATCAGTAGTGAATGTTTGGCTTTCTGCTAGGACTGAATTCTGAATAAATGTTTATGGTCTCCTTTACAGTTTGGTGAGCCTTTTTTGTGAGCTGCTGGATAATCTTGTTCTTCTGATGAAATGATAAATTATTTCCTGGGGCTAACGCTGGGGTGTCGTTATGTTGCATTTGGGGGTCCAAATTAACAAATCCTCTATACAATTGCAGTATAGGATGGTCCAATCTGTGCCTTTAGTCCCATTTCAATGGCAGTATATGTCTGTAATCTGCAAGGAGAGGCAATTGGGAGAATCAGATACGTACCCAATGGAATAGAAAACTTGATTCCTGACAGCCAATTAAGTTCCAGGCAGTAATGTATACTGTAGAGTAGTGGCAAATGCTTCCCAGCTAGAAAGAATCCAGCAAGGATCAAATGATTGGCTCACTGCATGCTCGGTTTCATCGACGTTTGCTTGCTAGTTAATTAGAAAGCACCTCCTTTCTAATCTGTGTTTCCATATCAAAATGTTGATTGGAATTAACAACGTAGCATCAAAGCATCCAGTTTGGTTGGTTGGAGACAGAGGAGACTCTTCACTAATTCGTTATTACAGAACAGCAGTAGTATTAGTTTCTCCGTATGCTAAGAGGGTCATTAGACTCATGACTCACGAGTTCATACTTCAGATTTGATGTGTGAAAAAACTAGTGAGATCTACACATGCAGGTCCGGAAGATAAGGCTATGATTCAGTCAAGTGGAGTTATATTTTCAGCAAGAACATGTACAGAGCCACCTTGCAACGGCTAATCTGCTACTGATTCAGGCCACTGGTGTGAGACTGTGAGTAAGTGACTGAATGAGAGTAGCGACTGCGATGCACATGCTGCGATCGTGTTTGGTAGAGCTCATGTCCTGACAAGATTCTTCGATGTTAAACGACTCTTGCCGGTCAGAATTTTGACCTCAGGGTAAGGAATCAATCTTTATAATACAGTTTGGATCGGGAGCCAATCCGATAAAATATACTGTACATCCGTTTAACAACTGAATGCCTACAGAAGAAATGTCCTGATGTCCTATGGTTGGTTATCATGTACTAATTTAATATCTACTGAATATACAGAAAGCAGTAGTCACACGTATTTTCGTTGTCTAACCCTCACATCGTTTCGCATAGAGCTGATCATAACCGACTAAAAATATTTTATAGAAATACTTTTATATATGTCTTATTAGTAACTTTAAAGCCAACGTAAAATATAAACTACGATAAAAAATCAAAATTAATTTTAAAATTAAGATTTAAAATTTAAATTTTAGGTGTGGCTGATAAGACAAGGAGTAAAGAACAAACCGAAGAAGGCAGCTCACTGTTACATGTACACTGAACATGTAACAGTGTTCAGGTTGTCAAGAATGCTGAATCCAAAGACAGTATGAACGGCTTCTGCAAAACTGCCTCTCCTGCAGGTTGCAGCCTTGCTGTTCCATGGGTCCCCGTAATCTTCTTCTGCAGTACAGCTAGCGATCGATGCCTTTGATAAAAACTGTGAGCTAGCTAGCCAGGCCAGCCATTTTCCTTTAGAGCAGAGCAGCAGCTTGCCTGAACTTTCTGGTTCAGAGAACATGATCATCAAGCTATCAAGAAACGCTTTTACGAGATTATTAGGCTCTTAGCACATGACAAAAGCGCCAAATGCGCGTTGGTTTTGCCGGCTTGTGCAAAGGCGTATCCGGGGTTGCGACCACGAGATGCATGTTTGTTCACATTTGGGTCAGAATGGGGGCCACGCCGGCGGCGGCGAGGTCATGAACTTGCCGGCTTTCCGCCGCCGCGAACTGGGCGCGCTTCGCCGTTGGCCCGGCCGCCGAGGGACTCTGATCCGGCGTGTGAACTGCCGGGGCGGCTGGGCTGACCACGGCCCATACCCTGTTGGGCTGTATCTATCTGATGGGCCCTCGTGAGTTATGGCCTGCTCTTATCTGATGGGCCGTGCCCGTTTGTGCAAACTGCATCCTGTTTGAAGCAGTTTGACTAGAGTCAACATAATCTGAACTTTAGGAGTGAATCGAATATATCCTGTAAATGGAATAATATGGGCCAATGTTTATATCCCTGTTTGAGATAGTTGAAATTGATGGACAATTTAATTTATGTGATATGTTTAAGGGTATAAACGAATAAACTAACTACTATGTTATTTTAAAAAATATTTCAAGAAAATTTTTGCACGAATCACGCTATTTAAGTACTTGGGAAAAGTGAAAACAAAAATCCAGAATAAAGAAAAGAACAGTCAATCAAGAAGTTATGTGTACAAAAAATATTGTTGAATCTGAACAAAATGGTGGCGGTGAGCCAGTAAAAGGTGAACAAACAAATACAAGCTGAAACCGAGAGAAGAAGATTAATCGAGGAGAAAGTCATGGATGAAGCAATGAATTCAATCCGTCGATCGTGCCGCGCTCGATCTTGCGTGCAAATTCGCTCATCGCGATCATGTCCTGACCCGCCGGCAGTTGTCGCGGACCTTGCCGGCGTAGCCGCCGCGGAGGCCGCCCATCTTGACCATGGCGGCGGCGAAGCTGCTCGTGAACAGCGCCTGGTTGCCCCTGAGCTGGGTGACCCTCGCCAAGGTCCTGGGCGAGTTGAGCGCGGCGTCGGACTCGAGCACGGTGCGGTTGGCGAGCACGTTGGCGTAGTAGCTGGTGTCGAAGCCGTACTCGCTGCCGGCGTCGAGGGCGGCGACGTTGTTGGACTTGTAGTTGCACTGCTTCCTCAGCGCGTTCCGGAACGCGGCGTCCATGCCCTTGTCGCCGTCGCTCGTCAGCCTGTACCCGAACGTGCCGCACCTGGCGACGCCGAGCGTGTGCGCGCCGGAGAGCACCACCATGTCGTCCACGGTCAGGCCCTTGCTGGTGAAGTACCGCGCCAGCTGGTCCACGTTCCGCTGCTTCGGCGGCGGGAGGTCGCCGGTCATGCTCGCCCGCGACACCGTCCCGTCCGGCCTCCCGCCGGGCACCTCGTACTTGTAGCCGCCGGTCTGCACGCCATCAAATGCCAGCCGGCGATGAGAAAGAATGTGATTACAACTGAGCTGCGTGAGTAGGCGAGGATGTCGGCGTGTGGACGACGTGCTCTCTCACCATGACCCTGACGCTGTCGCGGGCGGCGTAGGCGAGGATGTCGGCGCACGACACCGTCTGCTTGCACGTCGCCTCCAACCTCGCCTTCACCCTGTCGACGACGTCGTAGCCTCGCAGGCTCAGGTTCGGCTGCGCGTTCTTCTCCGCCTGCCCGTCGCTCGCCTCCAGCAACACCGACCCGTCGCAACCCTGAAAATCAAACCGGCGTTACATCAACTCGGCGACGACCGGGGACGCCATTGCTAGCTTAGCTTACGTTGACGAAGCAGTCGTGGAAGTGGAGGCGGAGGAGGCTGGCCGGCATGCTCCGGTCGGCGTTCCACGCCTTCTGGACCTCGTCGAACACGATGGACTCGGCGGCGGGGCACTTCTGGGCGTAGTACTTGTACACGAGCGTCTGCGCGTCGGCGTGCAGGAGCATGCCGGCGACGGCGGCGACCAGCCACAGCGCGGCCGTGGCTCCCCTCTTCATCGCCATCACCGCGCTCGGCTAGGTAGCTTGTGATTGATTGATGCGAATGCAAATGTGATTTTCTCGCCGCTGGCTGGTGCAACGACGAACAGCTCGAGCGGTATATATATATATGCGAGGTGATCGATCATGTTTGCATTTGAGGCGAGCACGTATATATGCGTGATTTGACTAATCATGTGTAAGTTAATGGGAGCGAGGTCGATTAAGTCAAGAGGAAATAGTGGCAACTTTGTCCTTGAATCCGACGTGAGATTGTGTAACTGTGAACTGGCCGCGAATGATAATAAAATTGATTAGTGACGCTAACTCTCTGTCGGTTTGGACGTGCTTCCGTGTAAATTGTTGAGTGTTTGAATCTGCATTTCTTTGGTCCAATCATGATGGAACAGAGTAACATGCCCATGGCTATGGCTCTGTCCCTCTCCCTCTCTCTAAAAAAAAAGAGAAAGAGATATGCTACTAGCTTGACAGAAAAAAAAAAAGGACAATTGACAAAGAATTTCAACTCTGAGTAAACATTCTGAAAAATGTTATTTAGCAGTAATGTCCAACTTATATAGACATACATTGAGTAAGAGCAATTAAATTAGATGCTATGCTGTGATACAGTACAGATAATTAATCCAGTAGCAGCCTCCCTTGAACTGAAGTTGTATATAAGTAGTATCTCTGTTAACCGCTGATTATATCCTCGTAGACCTCCCTAACCTTTGCAAAGAAAGCTTCCCTGCAATTCAACACAATAGTTTGAGTTAGGACTCACATCTGTCAAGCCTTTGCACTTTGCAGGTTGGATAAAATAGTTGTGCTTGATGACGTACCTGTCAGGCTTGAACAGCAGGTTCCGGTATGCAAACCACTGCATCAGAAGCAACATATTATCAAGAGATGGAACTCGACGGAAAAATGACAGCAATGAACTAAGTAAGAAAATTCAGACTTGAACAGTTCCCAAAGCAGTTGGTATAATGCAGCAGTAATCATACTTCTAGAAACAAAGTTTTTTGCTCTGACGTGTATCTTACTCCCTCCGTCCGATTTTTACATTTTGCTTTTACTGTTTGACCATTCATCTTATTAAAAAAAATTTAGATTTATTATCCAAAGTACTTTAAATATAACCTTTTGTTTTTTTTTTATATTTGTACAAATTTTTTGAATAAAACGAGTGGTCAAACAATACAAACAAAATATCAAAATCTCTTGTATTAGGGGATGGAGGGAGTAGTTCTTACCCCGCTGTAGCCAATGCCAACAGCTTCCATGAGACCAGGAACGATAGGAAGCCTGTCAATTGCCTGCAAGGCAATCAAGCAAAAACCCAAGTTAATCACTGTATACCTACACAATTCACAATTAAGAAAGAAAGAAAGAAATGCAAGTGTGAGCATGTTTTTGAGTGCCGACCGATACAACTCCGCCGGCGCTCCACATCCCGAGCGACGCAGCGACCGCCAGCGTCGTCACCGCGTACTTGTCCTCAATCCTGTCCCACTGCACGCAACAATGGTATATACAAAGCGATTGGTGACACGTAATTTCAGCTGAGAGTGTGTTTGTGTATATCTACCTCTTGTTTGAGGGCGTTGATGAACTCGGTGATCTCCGCGTTGGCGGCGAGCGGCGCCGCCGGCGCCTCCCCCGCCGCCATGGCCACCACGTTCCTCGCCAGCCTCTTGCCTGCAAATTAAAACGCCACTTCGGACGTATCAGCACAACGACGCTGTGCCTACTATCAGCAGTGAGCAAGCAGCTGTACTACTGGTCGTCGGTGGTGACTCACAGAAGGACGCGACACGGGGCTGGCCGTGGGAGGCGAGGCCGGGCAATAATGGCGGAAGCGCGGGGAGGCCGAGGCCGACGGAGCGCTTCGCCGGCTTCACCTCGGCCGCCGCCGCCGTCGTCGCCGCCGCGGCGGCCGGGGTGGTGGTCGCGACGGTCGGTGTCATACTATACTGTACCTTGTACAAACCGTGCGTGCGTCGCAGCTAGCTAAGCTCTCTGCACGTAGTACGATCGATCGGTCGATCGGTGTCGTCAATCTGCTGGTAGTAATAGCGGCCGCGAGATGGGAGTGGGACGGACGGCGTACGGGCGGACGATGGGGGTGGAGGGATCGGAGGCCGGCGGCTTGGATAAAAGTGGGGATGGGTGGGATGGGTACCACACGTTGCGGGCGGGAAACTGATAAGATGAGGTTTGGGCATTTGTATGGCCTTGGATCATGCTATACTCCCGTTTTATTGCAGATCATCCAAACTGTTTCCGAGATGGTTGATCCATGGAGAGTACGTGTCACCTCACCTATAATCCCTTTTTCTTTTTTGGATAATGACCTCTCTCTAATCCATTACATACATCATTGCAAACGGCCAAACGCCACACAAGAACGTTCAGTGTGGGCACACGTACTTGCATTTGCTTGATGGATATGGATAGATGTGTCCTGAGGTAGAATTAGCAAACCTAATCGAGGATATGTATGCACAGAAAGTTTCTTTTTCTCTAAAATAAAGGGTTGTGTGTCTTATATGGGTCAATTTGACGTTGCCACAACGATAGAATTTTCAATATACTCGGGAGTTTATAAGATTATTGGTCTCTGGAAGCTGGTCACAGACTCCCAAAACTGGACCTCAAGCTGATGCGGCCACTCCCAGCGGTAGGCCCATGAACCGCGGCTGACATCTCAGGCCCAATTCACCCTCTGCTTCGGCTTCATGGGCTCGGCTGCTTCGCCTCCTGAAAAGCCCACCATAAGCTCACTAGGCCTGCAGGTTTGAGTGGGCTGGGGAAACGAGGTGGGCCCCCCGTTCTGGAGGAGAACCAGTTCGGCCCATGACATGCATGGGCTCTATCACCCGAGATGTACCGTTTTGGGCCTGCCCCACAATTAACCCACCTACACAACTGAACAAATCTTCGTGACTGCTTTCCCATTTCCAAGAATCATGAAAAAAGAGTTTTTTTTTTTTAGAAATCACCGTAGGGGAGAGGTTCCCCACCTGAATCTTCCATTGAAAGGAGTAGTAAGCTTGGGGTTACAAGGTTACATGAGCGTGGGCATTGCCAGCAGCGAGCCACTACAGATGAGTAGTTAGGGGCGTTGTAGAACATTTTTCCACGCTAGAACCACAATCCTATCGGAGCGCTTAATTCTTTCAGCCCATAGGGTCGCATCGTCAATACAACGTCGCAGTAATCGATGGAGACAGGGTTGTAGATGTCTGAAGACCATATCATATATGTGATTCCACAAACCCCAAAAGCATAGCAGGAAAAAGGATCGGAAGTGGGCAACAGGTATGTTAGACGGGGGCGTGATATTTGCCGAGTCCCGCAGATCCGTAGTAGGAACAGACGGCCTTATCTTTTCACTTATGCTTATATTTATCAGCCAAAATTTCAATTTTCAACCTCAAATTTAGAGTTAATTTTGAGGCTTTTTTCATCGAAATTTATTTTTTAGCTTTTACTTTTAGATCGCTAAGAACACATAAATAAAGTTTTTATTCATAAATTATTTTCCATTTGTAAATATGTCGTTTCGCTTATTCCGGGAATAAGCGAAACGATAGAGTATGATAAAGACTGATATTGAAAAGGAGTTCTACAACCACAAAGGATGCCATTCCCTTTGCAAGTAAAAAAAGGAATACAGAGTTACAGACACTGAAAGTTGTTCCACAAAAAGAAAGATACTAAGAGACCCTCCTAATATCCAAAACCAGGGACAAAAAACCAACTGATTAGGACCTTCAACACAATCCACACTTCCCTATGATGGCTATTAACGAAATCTCTTTGTGCTCTCTTTTTCCTTATAAGTGAAGCTAGGAATGGAGGCCGCTGAGGAATTTAGTGTCCAATTAACAGAGAGCAAATAGGCATCCAAGAGAGAACTCAAACTTAATTCGGAGGTGGTCAGGGTCACAGTGTGTAGTGTTCGCCTCACGGTTTTAATGTCGACTCGTAGAGTGAGCTTGCGATGAGCTAAGTCCTGAACAGCTCGAGGCAGTGCTCCTGGTCAAGGTTCCTGCTCCAGAACTTCTTGTAGTACTCGTCGTAGGTGTAGTTCCGGTACACCGCCGGCGAGTCGTCGGTGATGAGCTTCTTGGCCGGGCCGAGCTCCACGCTGTTGCACGGGCACAGGAACGACGCCACCGACATCCTCTCCCTGTCGGAGTTCACCACCGCCCGGTGCCACACGCTCCTGTACTTCCCGTTGCTCAGCGCCTGACAGAACCAGCAGCAATTTAATGTTCAGAGTTCAGAGTTTCAGACATCAACACGTTCTACATGCAGCTTTACTGAAAGATTCTCAGCCCTCTTATGAAACAAATTGAGAAGTGGAGGAATTTGAAGAATTTGCATCATATTAGGATTTTTCTTACAGAGACCTCTAGATCAAAGGGTTCAACCTTCGCCGTGTTTAGTTCTAAACTTTTTCTTCAAACTTCCAACTTTTCCATCACATCAAAACTTTCCTACACACAAACTTCCAACTTTTCCGTCACATCGTTCCAATTTCAACCAAACTTCTAATTTTGGTGTGAACTAAACACAGCCCTTATAAAATGGAGCAATCCATGAAAAATTTGGAAGAAATAAATCATGAGGTTCTACCTCATGTTTCCTAAGACTTGAAAATTTCTTGTGTTCTTCCTATGTGTCATCGAAATGTTAGTTCTAAAACTTTTTTGTGTTATTAATCGTCACTTTATTGCTACGTTTTTTCTGTCTAAGTGTTTTTGCAATCTTAGATATGAAAAGAGGCCTAAGATGATCTGAGAGGAATGGTCACCTGAAGTTGGTCGCCAATGTTGATGACGAGAGCACCGGGTTGCGGGTTGACGGCAATCCACTTGCCGTCGTTGAGGACCTGCAGGCCGGCGACCTGGTCGTCCATGAGGAGGATGGTGAGGGCGTTGGGGTCGGTGTGCGCGGGGAGGCCATAGGTGAGCTCCGGCTCCGGGCACTGTGGGTAGTAGTTCACCGCCATGTGCTGCTCCTGCTCCCCCAACGTCTCCCTCATGTATCCTCCCTCCAGTCCAAGGCTCTCCGATATCGCCTCGTATAGCCTGAACCCTAGCTCTCTTACCTCTGTGCAGTACGTGCCGATGATCTCCCTGCAATGTCATCACGAATTCGATCAGTCGCTTGATCAATTAAGTACTTCATCCGTCCTAAAATATAAAAACCTAATACTATGATTAGATACCACAAGTACTACTTTGTCATACTACTATATTTTGGAGTTGAGGGATACTCTCTCGTCTCATAAAAAAATCAACCAAGTATCGGATGTGATACATTCTAATACTATAAATCTAGACAAATCTATATCCGGTACCAGGTTATTTTTTTATGGGACGAAGGAATAAGTAATAATTATATTGAAAATTCTCTGTATTGAAGTGAGGTATGTTTGGACAAGTTAAGAAGCCAAGAACAGCACCTGTCATCACTGAAAACTGAATGGGCCTGCAGAGTACAGACAGACATGGATAGATTTTGGACAAGTAGTACGTTATCTTGAAAAAATATTTCTGCACGTGGTTGATCACGTTGTGGTTATCCTTGTATATTCTCACTTGTTCACATGTGGCCATGCATGTGCTTCTTGGTTTCTTAATCAAAAGATGTGGCCGCTGTTACAACCCCTGTAACCTTTGGATTCTGATTCCAATTCCAGAGATTGCAACGGGGCATTGTCTTCGATGTCAGTGTCGCATGCTCTGATTTCTTTAGGCGATTACATTAAACATTTGTGAGAGCATCAAGCAACTAACTACCTTGTTTTTCTTGCACGGTGCACGCAACTAACAACTACCTGCGCACATGGTGGAACCATGGCCACGCACAGTGCAGAATATATGGTCATTAGCTAGATGCTGAACTCTTATTCTAATATATTAACGTGGAGAGCTTTTACTCCCTCGGTCCCATAAAAAATGAATCTAGAACCAGATATGATATATTATAGTACTATGAATCTAGACATATGTATGTCCAAATTTGTAGTACTAGGATGTGTCATATCCGGTATTAGGTTGGTTTTTTATAGGACAGAGGGAGTACGTGTTAAAGAAAACAAGATTTGGAGAGGGACGTCCTTCCAAACATTTTCTAAGAAGAAATTGTGAGCGTGTTAAAGATTGAACACGAGACCACAAGATTAAAACCACACACTCTTTGACACTGCACTATCAAGTATATCTCTTAAGCTTTTACGTGTTTACGGGAAAAAAATCAAATTGATATAGACTATGAGACGACGTTCCTGAATCACGTGGTTTTGTTTGCCACCTTTGATGGCTCGTTTCTCTTGTTTCTTTCTTGGCTTCAGGTATCTATCTGCGTTTGTGCGCGCTAAATGTTCAGAGAAGCAAAGGGGAGCATATCTCTTAGGTTTTAGCTAGGTGATTCAGTGACTGCACATTCTTGAAAAGCTCCACCGTACGTGTAACATCAAGGATCGTTTTGTTGTTATGCATGCCAATCTCAGTCCTTATCAAAGTAGATGTATTCGAGAGCAAATTGCTCACTCTGACTTGTGAAAAAAAAAAGAGTAAAGTTCATTACCGGTCCCTAAACTTGTACCGCTGTATTATTCCGGTACCTAAACTCGCAAATCAACCGTTCAAGTTCTCAAACTTGTTTGACTGGGTCATCCCGGTCCCTAAACTTGCAGATCACTCGTTTAGGTCCTCTAACTTGTTTAGTTGTGTCACCCCGGTCCCTAAACTTGGATTTGAATATCATCTGGGTCAAATAGGACGGTCTAAAGACTTTATATTTAAAAATAATTCATAACTTTTTAATGTGAACTCTAATGAAGATAAACATTATATCAAATTTGTAGCCCTTGACACGGTCTACAACTTTGTAGTTGAATTTTTTTTTATTTTAAGTCATTTTTTGTCCCAAAATGCAATTTTAAAATTAAAATTTCAAAATCTATAAACATGCAACAATATTTTGGGACCCTAAACAGTTTTAATTCAAAAACTTTCCAACTAAAAAGTTGTAGGTCGCATCGAGAGCTACAATTTTGATATAAAGTTTGTCTTCATTAGAGTTCACATGAAAAAGTTATAAATTATTTTTTTGATATAAAGTCTCTAGACCGTCCTGTTTAGGGACCGGTGTGACACAACTGAACAAGTTGGAGGACCTAAACGAGTGATCTGCAAGTTTAGGGACCAGAATGACACAGTCGAACAAGTTTGAGGACCTGAACGGTCGATTTGCGAGTTTAGTAACCGGGATGACACAACGGTACAAGTTTAGAGACCGGTGATGGACTTTACTTAAAAAAAAAAATACATAGTGGAAGGTGACACGGAGCATGAAGCTTAGAAGCTAGCGTGATAAGCATTGCAATTTCCAAATGTTATCAATTTCATTTCGGTACCGGCCGAAATGGCTGGAATTTGGAATTATGGCACCTACCAATTCCAGTTCTAATACCAGCCAATTCCAGCAGTTGCGGTCCAGGTTGAGCCTAGGTTGTTCTTTTACTTTTCCAACTATTAGTGGTCCCTACTTCAAATTATCCTGCCAATTTGATATATGTGGTATTCGATCCTATTGCTATATATGGTTACAAAGTAAAATTCAGTGAAATTATAAATCTATGTTACTTTTATTAAGCTCTGGAACAGTACAATAGTTTCAATCCCATCAGAATCTTTTTCCAATTAACAATATTGTAGGGATGTAAGGGGCCCGAGCAAGCGGTGTTTTATTTTCTTCCGGTTATTACAATTGTAGTTGATTTTTTCTTTCAAACTTTATAGTAGCAAGTAGTAAATAAACTATAAGACAGTTTTTTATACAGGCAGTGGGTTGCCCGCTTGCATTCCTACATTCTGTCATGACCTCCCAAGTAGAATTTGACAAGATTGATGATATCCTTTGTCGCATATCTTGTTATTTGTGAACTTGTGATATGTGAATAGACTGACTGACTTGAGGATTGATCTTATGTCTGTGTAATAGACCGGCCAAACCTTTATTTATGCTTCATCCTCTCTAATGCGTCATGTTTTAAATGATAGCAAACCATTTACCTTTTGAAAATGTTTGCTAACGTGCAACTACAAAAGGAAATGGTGTAGAGTGTGTTCGGAACTCCAAGCTCCCAACTCCCTTGCTTCATTTTCCGTGCGCATGTTTTTCAAACGGTTAAACGGTGTGTCTTTTTTAAAAATTTTCTGTAAGAAAGCTGCTTTAAAAAATCATATTGATCTATTTTTTAAAAAAATTAGCAAATAATTAATTAATCACGTGCTAATGGACGCTCTGTTTTAAATACTTTTAAATTTTTTTACACTTTTAAATATACGAGTAAAATTAAATATGTGATAGTTGTGATTGATTGAGATGAGTGAAATTAAATAGGCAGATAATTTATTATATTCCGATATAGATTTTTAACGCTAAAAGTTGCTCCTATATGCTACTCCTATATTTTAGAACTAAGGGAGTAGAAATGGTCCAAAAATAAATTAATCGCAGTCAATTTCAAACGTGTTTTAGCAGTAACCGATACTGAATGGCGAATGGCAAGCATGAATGCAGTAACTAAATGTGTAGGAGAGCTGAGACAAAATAGAAATTTGTACTTGAAGGAGGGCGGATTGGAGGGCCAGTCGGGGACGAACTGGTGGAGAGGATAGCAGTGGAGGCGGAGGTAATCGCGCCAGTTGTGCACCGTCTCCTTGCGCACGTTGAAGCTCGTCGACAGCCGTATCTTCTTGGCCGGATCGTCGGAGTAGAGCTTCGCCTTCTCCTCCGCCGGCAGCCGGAAGAACTCGCGGCCCACCTCCATGACCGACGCGATCAGCGCCGCATCGATGCCATGGTTCACCACCTGGAATCACACGCGGGGATTTTGATCAGCTCGTCGTCAGCTTAGCTGCAATTTCTGCAGATTGTTGAGAGGAATTCGTGTTGATGATGATGATACCTGGAAGAAGCCGTGGGTGCGGCAGGCGTCGCCGACGGCGGAGACGACGGCGGCGCGGTCGGGGGAGGCGAGGTCGACGACGGGGATGCGGGCGTCGGAGACGACGAGGTCGAGGCGCGGGCGCTGCGACTCCGGGCGGACGTACTTCCCCGGCATCGTGTCGTGCACGGCCGTCGACAGCAGCTGGTGCTGCTGCTCCGCCTCCGCCGCCATGTTCACGACGGCGACGGCGACGACGACGTCGGAGGAGAAGAGGACGACAACAACGGCGGCGCGTGTGTGCAACGACGACTGTGGCGTGTGCGGCGACCGTCCGGCGACATGGCTCACCGGGAGGCGATCCCCGAGCTGGTCTTATAGCGGAAGGAGGAGGAGAAGGGATCGAAGCAGACGTGGCGAGAGGGTGAGGAGTAGTTGACTACTGTGAAGGCCTTCGAGTCGTTGGCTGCTTGCGTGCGTCACAGCCGCGTCCGCCCGTGACATCATTGTCTCGACTCTTCGCTCTCGTCAAACACCCAAATTAAACTCATCGATCAGCTAGTGCACGCAAGAAAGGCGAGAAGAATACTCTGTTCTGTTCGTTCCTTGGGCATGTGTCGGTGCTGGTGGTGGTGCTCTGTTCCTGGCTGCACAACGCGATCTGCGGCCATGTGTGTTCGACCGCGCGCGCGCGCAGGCAGAATCCGAAGCTCTGCAGGACGACAGAGTGTTTTGGTGGTAGCGTACGCGTGTGTGTGCGCCGTGTGTGGTGACGCTGCGGTTGGGGTTTGGGGTTTGTGGTTTGTTTTTGTAAAAAGCCAGATCTGATGGGTGTACAGGGGCTACAGTGTACTGGACCGTGATCTCTTCGCAGGATCGAAGATCGATCGAGCAGCTAAAAGTGGGGCGAGGAGAAGGTTTCAGATCTACTGTAGGTGTACAAGCGCAGCCCTGGACAGCGAATCCAGAGACAACCACAAGGACACAGGTGCGCATGCCGTGTCGTTGCCTCATCGTCATTTTATCTCTACCTTATTTTTTTAAAAAAAGAAACCCAGTAATCTAGGATTTAAATTTAGATAGACGGGTTCCACTGCAAGAATGTAACCATGTGAGTTACGTTCACTTTGCTATCTTTGCGTTATTTCTGTTCATGGGTTTTTTTCAATCTTACATTCCAAAAATGGTCTAAAAGTTCATCTGAGAGGAATAGTCACCTGGAGCTGGTCGCCGATGTTGATGACGAGAGTGTTGGGCTGCAGAGATTAACGGCAATCCATTTGCCGTTATTGAGGGTCTACAGATGGGCGACCTGGTCATCCATGAGGAGGATGGTGAGGGTGTTGGGGTCGGTGTGCATGGGGAGACCATAGTGAGCTCTGGCTTTGAGCACCGCGGATAATGTTTACTGCCATGTGCTACTCCTGGCTCCTTAGGTAGTGTTTGATTGGAAGGATGGGATGGGATGAACCCACTTTTAGGGGTGTTTAGTTTAGGGGTAAGTGGGATGGGTTGGTCCTTGGAGAGAAATATTCCTCTCTGATCTAGGACCAATCCATCCGGGAAAAAGGGCCAGACGAGCTCATCCCACTTAGGACGAGCACACGGTGTGAGCTCGTCCGCACCCGCCACCACCTCCGCATCCGCCAGCGCTCGTCCACGCCCGCTGCCATCTCCGCGAGCGACCGCCACTCCTCTCAGATCCGGGAGCCACCTCGCCTCCGCGACCACCGTCACTCGTCCACGACCCGTCTCTCCTCCGCAAGTGACCGCCGTCACTCGTCCGCTCGCGCCGATGAGCTCCTCCGCCCCCACGCTCGCCGCTCGCTGTGCCCTAGCTATTGGGAGCTAGATGGCACTAACGGTAGTGCAAAGCTGTTTATCCCATCCTACCTCAATCCCTTCTACCAAACAAAAATATATAACCATTACATACTATAAACCAAACAGACAATTGAAACCATCCCATCCAAAAAAAACTAGGATAGGTCTAACCCATCCCACTTAGGGACACACGCTTAGGGACTCCCTCATGTAGCCTCCATCCAGCCCAAGGCTCTCCAAAATGGACTCGTACAGTCTGAACGCCAACGTCCCTCACCTCTCTACGTATTTTGTTCAAAACACATAACACATGTACATGTTCTCTGTTGGGTTGTTCTATGGTACTCGTACCAGAGAAGAAGAAAGAAGAAAGAAAACGTGACAGAGATAACATGGTTCTAATTTCACAAAAGCTCAGTGACACCCAATCGATACCACAAATAATAATGGTATTTCTTTCCCAATTGGCAAATTTATAATGGCATCGATGTAATAACTATTTTTTTAAAAAAAATAGGCTCTACATGCAGAGGCTAAGAGTAAATATCAAAATATGTAATTTTCGTATAGTTCCTCCCGTGAATGTATCTGTATATGCATAATTATGTTCAGCCTGTAAGTGTAATTGTGAGATATATATACATACATACTCCCTCTGTCTTCTAATATAAGGGATTTTGACATTTTGCTTATACTGTTTGATCACTCGTCTTATTCAAAAAATTTGTGCAAATATAAAAAGTAAAAATTTGTGCTTAAAGTACTTTGGATAATAAAGTAAGTCATAAATAAAATAAATAATAATTCCAAAAATTTTTGAATAAGACGAATGGTCAAACAGTATAAGAGAAATATCAAACCTTTATACTAGGGGATAGAGGGAGTATATAATATAGTAATTTCAAGAAGAAACTACCAATCTACTCATGGTCCACATAGATTGAAAACGAAAAATGTGTATGCAATTAATTAAAGCCTAGGGGCATATGGATGGAGCAAAACTTAATGACATGGAAAGAAAAATGTGAAAACTAAGGGGGCAGAAAATATATTTGTCTTAAAGCTTAATTGAATTGATGCTCCAAGACCAACTAGACCTCACTAACTTCCCCCATTTCCTTTTTAGAAGTTTCCTCTGTCTCACATTTTCCTCATGTGGGATTATCTTCGGCTTCTGATAGAGCCAGTTCATCCTCTTTCTCACATGAAGACACCTTTACAATGGTTTCTATTGGTGGTAAAAGTAATCTTGATTTGTTCACCCTTTTTTACATATTGATCATGCATATCTTCTTATATTACCACCTCAACCAATAGCACTAGAATATTTTCACTGTTAGTAGAACTCATAAATCAACAGTTAAGATTTGCTAAAAATAAATGGTAGTAGAATAGTACCAACAGAGACCACCCTAAAGATACTCAACCATTATATTATCAAGTGCATGTGCCAACTAATTAAAAAAAACTTAGACCGAGTTATAATCAGCTTAACGGTTTAGCTACTTCCTCGTTTTTAGCGAGTATATATGTTCACCAGCTGAAGTGTATATACTAAAAAACTTACTGTGCAGAAGTTTTTTTAAAAAGGAAATCAATAAACCCATTTATTAAGTTTGTAATAGTTTTATTTTAAAGAAACCCAGTACAAATGTAGATGCTCACACACATGCACACTCACCCTACCTATCTCTAGGAGTATGTTCAGAAAATTGGACCGGTATATCTTGAGATTGACGAAGTCACCACTGACGCCTCGCTGTCAATAAGTACGTCACCTACCACTGAAAGAATAATTAGCCGTAAATACGAGCATATGTGTTAAGTCTATAACTTAAATCTGGGTGAGTTGGTTCCACCGCATGGAACCTAACCAGTTAAGCTACACTTACTTCACAAGTTTGTAATAGTTAATACTTAATTAACCATGAACTAATAACTCATCTCACTGTACATGTGAGGAAAAAGCTCCAGCCAACCTTTAGTTAGAGCGCAGCCTTAGTCTAAATAAAGAGACATATAGTTCGTTTATAGTGAAAAACACCATATTCCAAAAGAAGATGCTCAGATACATTCAATCATTATCAACAAGACGTTCACTTGCCTAATTAGCCATGAAAGAAAACGAAGTGGGCGGCTAAGAACCACGTCCGCGACGAAACATTCAAACGCTATAGGTATAGGCGCACGGCGGCTAATTTATTAATTAAGTGGAACTGGAAACAACGAAGTAGTGGAAGATCTAGCTCACCGAGAAAAACTCCAGAAAAAAAGCGATGGTCAAGCGACAAAGATGTGTCCTCCCTACCGCAGTCCTCGACAAGTACATATATTGACTGAAACCTTCCACTTCTCAACAATGGGGCCTAATTAACCAGAAAATTTTCACGGCTGATTCGGTAGTTTCATGCAGCAGATTGGCTTGGCGTGGCTGGTACGCGCGCGCCCGTGAGCCGTGACGCGATTCGCACTGCGCTAGCTGCGGACGAGATTCGCACGGCGGCTCGATCGATCGGTGGTTCAGACGATGTCTCTGATTGATCAGTCTTGGAACTGAAGCTGCGGATTTTCTATAGAACCTGGCAATCTGGCATTGTATATTTTGATGGGCGGTGGTTAGATTAGATACACGGCGCTGGCAGCAGCTATCGGGCCGTCAGCTAGTTGTCGTTTCGTACTGCCATGCCACATCGTACTTCAACCATGCATTTTTTGGAGTTCATGACAAGTGGCAACGGCAAACTTCAACCATGTCCTCTTCTGAGAGGAGAATGCGCACTTCCCGAGTTTTAAAACGGTGTGCTTTTGAAAAGAAATCTACATGTAATTTTTTCTAATTGTTTTAAGATTGAGTGTCTCACGTTTATACGAGCACTTGTGTTATCTACGTTGTGCGTTGTGCTGTGTTTTTAAGAAAAAAATGGAATGCAACTTTATAATATTTTATCACTTTGTTTATACTTTTAAATAATTACTATAAATCGACATGCTATTCAGCCAGTAGTACAAAATAATAGCTCAGGAGATGGCAACGGTTGCACACCTATCGAGTTTTGTTACACTATACCCATACCCGTGATGATTAAAAGTTCCCGCATCCGTGCGAGATTCTCACGGTAGCTACACCCGTGCGCGTAATGGGTACCCGTTAGATATCGATACCCACTACACCAACGTGAACATTAAATTTTACACAATAATCATACGATTACGACGACAACCATCAATATCATATTAGTAACCTTAATTTTAACATTAACAATCAAAAGCAAATAAACAGATAGTTAGAATTAGACTATATATGACAAGTAACGAACCATACTAGAATTAAAAAAATTTGCCCACTAGTACATTAAATTCATGGGTATAAAAATTAGACCATACACATGTACGTACTGACTCCTAAATCCCAATGGAGTAAAATCTATCGGGTCTCGCGTTACGGAGCCCCGTTGCCATCTTTCAAGAACTGTACAACTCTCCGAGTACAGCCTGTTGCTGGTCAAAATTTCGTCGTCGCCGGTGAAGATCCAGGAACAGGAAGGTCCCTAGGGCGGCCGGGGCGGTGAGTGAGA